CGTTACAAGATACTATACAAGGTGTTGATACTAGTATATATTAGTCGTTTGTACATTGACGTGAATAATTATCGAGATAAAAGTTAATATTTGGAAGAATGTTATTTGAAATTGTTTATGTTTCATATTAAAACTTAAAACCCAGTTTTCATTGAGATTCAACTTTGTAATCTGCATGTTATTTTTTTTTTTTTATTGATGCTTTTATATTTAAGTAGGATGGGAAACACGTTGGTACATCGATGTTAAAAAGGATGGAAAAAGAACTCCAACTCTCCAAGTAAAGCTTGGTTGGTGAGGTCTCAATAAGTCGGGGATTAGTTGCAATAATTAGTCTTTGGCTACACAAAGTATATGCAGTCCCGAAATAAATGTCAGAGTCAACTCCTCATGATTTGGCATTTTGGTTGATTTTATTTTCCAGATTTATCCCTCAAAATAAATTTATTACCGATTACTCATTCTTAATTTAATAATTTCACAGATAGTAAAGCTTGGACAAACGGGTTTAGACCGACAAATGATATTTGCAGTTGGTATATTGCTTGTACTCTAATTTCAGGAAGAAGGGGGGAAAACGAAGAGAGAAACTTGCTACATATATCTTGAAAATGGTCTTCCATGCTTAAGGAAATATACACTGAATTACATCTATTCTTATGGATTTTCTTTATGAATTATTCTTATGGATTCCTTAAGAGCTGTGTGACTATGATTATCACTACGATTACGATTATTATGACTCTGCATAGTTAGGAGTTGCAGAAGAAAAAAAAGAAATGGATAAACAAATGATATAAGTGTATGTACATTCAATTGTTTCCCTTTCTTCCACCTTTGTGTGGATTCAGATTATGTCCATCGTCTTGTGGTTAGTAATCGTGAATAACCTGCCCATCAACTGTCACATCACCATCATCTACCATTTATGAGATGTTTCTAACTTTTTCCCCTTTAATTTTTAATGGATGGTTTTTCTCGCGTTTTAAGTCGAAATTTATATATTTTTTGCATAGATAAACCATATTAATTGTGCTTTTCAAAACGATATCCACTTTAATATAGTTTTGGAACAAAAAAATAATTGAGACATTTATTACTAGTCTATACCATATGGTATTGATTGGTATTTAATAAGATCATATTAAATGGTATGAAAGTGTACCATGGTGGAAGAACATACTAGACTGTACAATGGTTGAATACATGATAATAGAAATATACTAACTTTCATTTATGACTTTCAACATTGTGTACCACAAGATACCACTCGTATACCAGGATGGTAAGGGGTGGTATTTTTTGATCTTGTATTTCCCCCCAGAAATTTGTAGATCCAATAGATCATGATAAACTCGTTCCTTATGCAAATATTTTCAAAAATGACTTAAAACGAAAATGATATCATATTATATGGAGTTGGTAAAGAGATGTATGAAATTTTTCAAAAAAAAAATATTAAAAATGGATCTCATTTTGAAGATCACAATGAACTCGTTCCATATGTGAAAAGGAAATCGAAATCCAAATTAGAACGAAGAAGATAAGAGCCGACTAAGAAAATTAGGAAAAATAAAAGACCTTTAGTTATGCAGCACGAGTTATGCACCCTATCCTAGACCCACCTTTGTGATTCACCTACCCAACTAACTGTGGACTACAATGGCATATAGGATAATCCATGAGTGAATTTAATTGACCCTCCCTAGATGTTTTATTTTTTCGGACGTGGAAACTCTCCCTACGGATAGTCCATTCTAGGTGAGTTTGGATAACTCGAGAGGGAGTCTAAGCGGGAATAGGATTCTCTGTGGTATAAATCATGAGTCAGCAAGCTTGGAATGTCATTCATCGGTCTATGTGTAGCTATAAAAAATAGAAACAGTCGTATTGAATACCAAACATCGAGTTTCACATGTCTAGAATCTCTATGATTCGCTAAGGGAACTAGCTGGCCACAGGAACGGGTTTATGGGGATTCATCGAATTGAAATGAAGTCCCCAGAACATCACTAGAAACGGCAGCCAGAAAAGAGAAATCAGGGCTTAGGCTGCCAATTTTGCCTCCATTTCTTCGTTCGTACCTGTGTCTCTCTAAGTCAGGAGAGTTACCATGTTGGCAGTGTAATGAACCTCTAACATCTTCCTATCACTGCTACTGAGTTCCATACCTTAGAGACCTATTTATAAGTCTTGGATTAGGGTTTGTAAGGGGAGAAACCCAGCCTTGACCTTTCATCCAGCCCATCAGAAGGGTTCGCCAAGCAGCTACTAGTTCATGATAAATTATGGACGCCTTCCCGACGAAGTTTGGCAAATTTCCCAAAATGGCAGCCACGACGCCGTTTTGAATTATGGGTCACTATTTTAGGCGCCATTTTGGGCCTTAGTCTTCTTTCAATGTCTTTCTCCAACAGTCAAGCCTCGATTTTCCTCAATGCTCCCAAGTGGGCTTTTAGCCTATTTTGACCTAAAAATGCAAAAAAAAAAAAAAAAAAAAATTAGCAAAAGCGTATCATTGTAATAAAGCAGTCCTCATACACACTTTGAATATTAACATAGTAAATTCATGATATTATGCCAATAAAGATTAGAAATCAATGCAATTTTGATCATAATATGAGAGTTTAAAATAATATATTTCACGTATCATCAGAGGTCTGGATGTTGTATTTGAGAAATATTTAAAAATGATAACATCTTTTGAGTGATTTTAGGGTACCATTATATAATAATTTTGTGGATCGTAAATATGGCATCTCGGCTTATGTGAACGGCAACATAATTGCAGTAAACAAAAATATTTTGATTAAGTAAAAAAAAAAACCTTTTCACAAGATATAATTAATCAAAATAGTATTAACAAATTATCTTATTTACTTCTTAGTAAATTATTATAAAATAATATTTATCCCATTTTCAAATATACTTTTACCCTTACATTTTTTCCTTTCTTTTTTCTCATAAAATAATATTTTCTTCTATTATTTTATCCCTCTAAATATTCCCTCCTCCTCCAAAATTTTCTCTTTATTACTAAGTGAAAGTAATAGTGTTAGCCACTAGGGTGCGCATCCAGTTCGATAAACCTAAAACTTGAAATCCAACCGAATTCTTCTGAGCACGAAATTCAGTTGGATAGTAGTCAATAATCGGATTTTGGTTCGGAACAAATAGAATCGAACATTCGATTTCTGAAATGAGCACATGAACCCCATTGAACTTGGCCCCATTACCCATGAGGAACGGACCCAAAATCAAGTCTCCTAACCCTACCATATCCCAATTGTGACCTCTGGTCTCCCCCAACTCGGTCTTCTCTCTGTCTCTTCGCTCACTTCCCCTTGTTCCCTACTTCTTTCCCAAACTCAACCACCACCTCCTATGTTAATTTTTTTTTTTTTTTGCATTGACGGAGGCGCAAGGCCACAGAAGGGAGAACAACAAAGGGGGGAGAGAGGGAAATCAACAGGAGGTAGTAGGAGTGTCAATCACAATGTTCCTAGGAAAGGTGACACCTCTTTCGTCGTCCTGTAAAATGGAGATGAGGTCTTGCGGAGGATCCTCTAGCTCATACATACCGTAGGGATAGACGAGACTGTGCTTCGAGAGCCAGTCCGCGGCTCTATTCCCTTCCCGGTATGTATGAACAAGATTCACCACCCAGTCTACTGAGATCTTTCTCCTGATAGCCGAGAGGATCGCTGCATAGGGGTGAAGGGGGTCACTTCTGTTCTTCACAAGATTCACCTCCTATGTTAATGTTAGTACTTCAAACCTCTCTTCTCCAATATGTCATATACGTCGTCTAGTGCCAACCGCTGCCACCCCACCAGCCACTTCTGCTCATCCCTGTCACTGAGACCAGATTCAAGAACATTTCGAAGTTCCGTCAGATCCAAACCGAACCCAAAACTTGTTGGTTTTGTGCTCGCCGGATGTCGGTCCAGGAACATGCTCTATCTCGATTTGTAGTTCAGTTCAGTTTTAATCGAATAGATCGAATGCCACCTCTTTTAGCGAGTATCAAGGATTTTTTTTCCCCAACGTACTCTAGCTCTTAAAAAAGATTATGAAAGTACGATAGCTCTTATGAAATTTCTCAATCTACACATATTTTGCATGGATCGCTTTTCGTCATTTTGTGATAATGTTATCTTTCCATCCGGAGACGTTTTAACATTTGTGTAGTACTCATAGCTGGTTTTCAACTTTGAATTTATCATTGAACTTTATTGTAATGATGTTTTATCTTTTCCATCTTTTGATATTTTGACTTTCGCGTTGTACTCCTAGCTCGTTTTTAACTTTGACTTGATCACTGAACTATATTGTAATGCTATTTATACTGAACGTGGATTGCTGAAGGCAAAAGCAATCATAACAGATCGCTCTTGCTCCCGTCGAAAGTTATCAAAACTTCATCGCCTCACACATCAATGATCTATGTATAAACACGTTCCACCTCAGTGATCCTTGTCAATTATCGTGACCAATCACTTCCCTCTGTAGCTATGTACTCTCGGATTGCTTTTTCAGACGCGATCAAGGTATAGATCGCTTGACACCTCAGCAATCCTTGCAGATCGCTTTTCCCACCAGCAATCAATATTTAATCACTTTTCTCTTCAACGATATTTCCACAGTTCGCCTTTGACATGAGCGATCGATACAAAATGTATGTAGGTAGAAAAATTTCATAAGAACTATTATGAATTTTTTTTTCCCCCGGTAAAGAATTAGTGTAGCTTGGGAAAATTGTCCTAGTATGAAATTTACGAAAAACAACAGAAAAAAGTAGATATGGGACAAGCAAGCAAAGGACGAACACACGACACCAGAGTATCCAGCGGAGCGAAGTTAGAGAAATAAAACGGAAACAGAAAGAGGGTTCAGCTGCTTTGTCCTTTCCCTAAATCGTCTTTTTGGGGTCTATTTTGGCATTTTGTCTTTCCTTCCACCTTTGGATCCGCCGAACATAACACAAATGGACAAGCACTGACCATTACTTAATTGCTCTGCTTACGACCTGACACTACTTAGTACTTAATAATATTCCCCAAACCATAATGGCGAGAAAACCCACAGAATACACTGATAACTGTAACGAGCAAGCTCTGAATCAGGATTCAGGAAAGGGAAGAATCAATCAGGAAACAACTGAGACCTCAGCCCCCCCATGGCCACTGACTTCAAGTCAATCCCTATCATCGGTAACGAAACTGAAGCTCACTCTACTCCATGAGAATTTCCCACTCCATTTTCTGAGAAAATTCGCCTTTTAAAGTCTCCAACTCTGTTTTTCCTTTTCCCCCGCTGAATAAAGTCTCCAACTTTGGTCATAATCCGGTGGTGGGTTCTGCAGATATCGGTCCTTTACTGTCGAAGAGCGATGACCCGGATATGGGTTCGGACCCGGGTGTGGCTCAAGTTGTCGAACAGCTGGATCGGGCTTGTAGGGAAGCTGGCTTCTTCTATGTGGTAAGATTCGAGTCTCGAGACTTGGGAAATGATTCGATTTTGTAGCTGGGAAACTTGAATCAATTTTCTGTACCGTTTGATTCCGTTCATTTCCAGAGCTCGAATTGGTGTTGTTAGCAAGCCTTGAAACCCCTTTTTCTCTTGCTTTGAATTAGTCTAATGATGTTCTTGTGCTGAATTGGTGGCTGATCAGAAAGGCCATGGCGTTCCAGATCCCCTAGTGAAGGAGGTCAGAAGTATAGCACGCAAGTTTTTCCATCTTCCCTATGAAGAGAAGCTTAAAATCAAAATGACACCAGAAGCTGGATACAGGTTTTTTGCTTCTTCATCCATTTCTGAGCTATATGGCAAGTAAATTCAGGTTACTTGACTCATGTAAGCTCATACTGGAAATGCAGGGGATATCAGAGGCTTGGAGAGAATATAACCAAAGGTGTTCCTGATCTGCATGAAGCTATCGATGTAAAGTTTGTTCCTTTGTATCCGGCACTCGTTTTAAGATTTTGTGAACCTTAGGAAGGTGGCTGAAGTGTGGAGAAACGTTTTTGTCTTTCTTTCTGTGAATAACAGTGTTACACAGAAATAAAACCAGGGAGGTATGGAGCTCTTGGAAAGCCTATGGAAGGACCTAACCAATGGTATAGAAACCACACTGTTTACAAATTTAATCGATCGGGGTACTCGGTTTCTGTTGTTGATTCTTGATTCCCTTTTCAGGCCACAGTATCCGCCAAACTACAAAGAACTGATGGAGGAGTACATAAGCCTATGCTCAGGCATGATTTTTTGTCCACTCTTTACCTTCGTTTGTTCGTCTGAGTTGCTATCTATCTGTTTGAATTTTGAGAAATCTTCTGCTAACAGAACTATCGAGGAAGATCATGCGAGGAATTGGTTTGGCATTGGGTGGATCGCCGTCGGAGTTTGAAGGCGATAGAGCTGGAGAAGCGTTTTGGGTGACGCGGATCATAGGTTACCCTGGTGTACCTGATGCAAATGGAGATAACAAAACTGACAATGATGTGGGATGGTAATATGTTATATGCATGTCTGAACTATATTGTGTTGCCGCTTCCATGTTGCTTGATAGTTTCACGAGTTTAACCTAAAATCGTTTGCCTTTCCTGTGGCTGGAAAATTTGTGCAGTGGAGCTCACACCGACTACGGTAAGATTCATTCAGGTGTTGGGGGTACAGGTTTCTGCACAGTTTTTCTAAACTATATTGGTAACAATTCTGCTATTTGCGGCTGCTTGATAGGTTTGGTGACGTTGGTCAATCAGGATGATGATATAACTGCACTTCAGGTATTGCAGACTGTACCTTCTAGTTTCAGTTCCATAGAAAGTTTCATCTGTTAGGAGAGGTTTTGTTTCATAGTTTTGAACTCCGTTGTTCTCCCGATTCGAAGGTGAGGAATCTGTCTGGGGAATGGATATCTGCTCCTCCGATACCCGGGACATTCGTGTGCAACATTGGGGACATGTTGAAGGTATATGTCATGTGTGCAACCACCCACTTCACTAAATTTACTTCTGAATTCCTGTACTGGATCATTGAGTTCGAGCCTTTTCCATGGGGCGAAAAACTGCAGATTTGGAGCAACGGTCTGTATGAGTCCACTCTCCATCGAGTTGTCAATAGCAATGCCAAATTTCGTGTCTGTGTTGCTTACTTCTATGAGGTCTGCAACTTGCCTTGCCTTCCACTGATGCGTGTGAATCACAGATGAATTGATATAAAACATTGTGCTATTCGTTTTGCAGCCAAACTACGATGCCGCCGTGGAGCCCTTAGACTTTTGCATCCAGAAGAGTGGTGGTGTTAGGAAGTTGGGAAAAGCTGTTTATGGAGAACATTTGGTCGCCAAAGTTCAAACCAATTTCGCCTGAAATGTCTCTGACGTTGGTTCATACTGATGTTGTACTATGGTTTTATAACTTTCATTGCAATGTACTATGTATAGTCTTTTCTCAGAAGCACATTTTCGGAATAGTTCAAGAAACCTAGAATAAAAACAAGAGGAGAGCCCATAGGAGTAACCCTTCCAATGGTGAGAATATAACAATCTGAAGTTTCCTGTCAAATGGTCTACAAAACATACAAGTGGGCTAATTCCCATCCCACAACCCGGGAAGACGAAACCAGAATGGGTACTACGAAGTAAGAACATCAACAGAAAACCTGCAGGCTGCCATCCTATGAATCACAGTACAAACTGAACATACACTGTATAGGTTATACACCGTACCTTGTTCATGACGAGAGGATGAATATTGAATAGAACAGCCAGCTGCTCTTAATTCAACTAGCAGAAGTTCTAGGACTTGGCTACACCCTTATCCTTGAGGTAAAGCGGAATCCTCCCGCCTAGCTTCTTGAGACGATCCACCATATCATACAAAAATTCAAAGGTCAGCTTGGATTGTGCATTCAGATCCTCTCTAACATGAGGATGAACCCTGAACCACTCCCCCAGCATCTTATGCACATGGGAACGGATCATTCTCCACGGCACTGGGTACTCTTCGCACAGCTTCAAATACTCCACAACCAAATCAGCCTGGTCGAGCAATCCATCTCTGTGCATTTCTTCTTCCCCGCCAGGGGAAACCCATTCAGGAGTCCGGTATCCAGCAAACACCGCTGGATTCTCGAGCAGAGTCTCGGCCGAGAGCACACCTTCCACGCCTGTCTCATCCAAACAGTCGTGAACGTCTTCCATGTGGCGGATGTTGCCATTGGCAAGAACAGGAATTCTCACTGCTTCTCGTACGGCTTTAATGACTTTCCAGTCGGCCCTGAACTTCTTCCCATCCTTTTCGTCTCTTGTTCGGCCATGGACTGCCAGCACCCAGCACCCAGCTTCCTCCAACATCTTCGCGTAGCTAATTGTATCCTCCAATTTGGGGAAGATTCGGATTTTACAAGAGACACGGATGTGGTTCAGGGCCAGCTTTTCAACCAGGGACTTGACGAGTGGCAGGTTGTCCATTAGAAAAGCTCCGTAATACCCTCGCCTGGCAATCCGCTGAGGGCAACTGCAAGGAACACCATATAGCAGCAAATCGCAGTTAACAGTTAAAAATTGAACCATTCTCTTCTCCCACTTTTATGTTACCCTTCTCAGAGACATTATGTCGAACACATACCCGAAATTTATATCGACATAGTCGCAATGAGGCTGCACCCTCCCAGCAGCTTCAAGCAAGGTGTCTGGATCATTGGCACAAAATTGAACGAAAAGCGGCCGATCCTCCTGTGAATCGGCTAATGAGAACTAAGATTAATCAGTATCCAATAGAATCAATGGAGGCAACAACTTACCTTGCAAGTGGTGAACTCTTGGCTGCGGTACTTCTCATTCTCGGTGAAAATCCTCGAATGAAGCATTGGAGTGTAAGCAGCTTCTGCACCGTACTTTCTGCAGAGCATCCGAAAGGGGAGCTCGGAATTGTCCACCATCGGAGCAACGATGAACTTGGGGCGACCAAGCTCGATCCAATGCGCCCATGCTCGTTCCGCCCGGGACTCCCCGGTAAGGTAACCGTTGGGCGAAGGGGAGACGCCGAATGCCGCGGTTGAAGTGTCCTCTTCTTCTGTTTGGGCTGCGTCTTGGTGTTGGAGAGGGCTGCTGGAACAGAGTGAATCGTCGGGAGTGGGAGGTGGGTCAAGAACTTGGGTGCCGGAAGAAGCCATGAGAGGTCTGGTTAGCGGGAAGATGAGAGGGTTGGGAGGAGGACGGGGAGAGAAGACGGATCTCATCGGCGGGCGACGGGGAGGGAGAAGAAACCCATCGCCGCCATTGACGAGGGATTTTGGGGGGGGAAGGTTTCCCTCTTCGGTATTGGGCAACGTGAGGTATTTGCGGGTTTTTTTGTAACTTCCCCTGGCTCCAGGCCTAGAGTGGTTCGATGTAGGGGTGGCTATACGGTCCGGTCCGGTTAAATTGGCCCAAATTGATCCGGTCCAGTCCGGTTTTTTTGAAAATATAAGGACCGAAGATTGGATTGGATACAGTCCGGTCTTGATCTGGTCCGGTCTTGACCCGGTCCGGTCCTAATTGGTCTTGATTTTATATTGAGATTGTGGGAATTTGAGTGGCCTAAGGCCTAAAAGGGTGAGGAGTTGGTTAAGTTTTGTACTAAGTGCAAAGTTTTGTGACCGTTTATGCAAATTACCCTTAAGTTTTGTGTGTTGAGCTCTCTTATCCGGTCTTTATCCGGTTTTTTACCTCAAATCTAAGCCCAAAGATTGGATTGGATTGTTTACTATCCGGTTCCGGTCCGGTCTCGGTCCGGGTTATACGGTCCGGTTTCCGGTTTTTTATCCGGTCCCGGTCCAAATAGCCAGCCCTAGTTCGATGGACGAATGGGCCAGGCCCGTAACTTCTCAAATGTGGAACTGGAACATAGCTGGATTTTATATATATATATATATATATATATTGATACGACTTGTATGCTCCAGACGCACACCATGCTCTAGGCCTTCGCACCGTAGATCTAATCTAACGGCGTTTATTAATTCTATTAAAATTATTTATTTACCAACAATAATAATTACCATCATCACCCTATAAATAATTATACATACAATTTAATCCTTCAACAATCTTTATCACTATACTTTGAATTCTAATACCGTATTTCTAAGAGGCCTATTATTCAACACCCAAAAGTTATATAATTGATAATTATCTGTCCATTAAAATTTCTTAGGAAGGATTAATTAATCAAACGCCCTCATCAACCTGATATAGACTCGCATCATCAAAGGCGATCACCATCATATGCAAGCCACACTGCTACCCTAATTTCACCATCTTCATCAATAGACCTCAGCTACCCCTAATTACAAAGTCATCATCAAGGGAATAAATTTGCCTCGACTGATTAATGAATCAAAGATTCATCTATTTCTCTAGTAGCAGCTCCAAAAAGCAACCTTAAAAAAAGCAAAACTTCACTGTCATCGTGCCACTGAAAGTCCATCGTCATCATCAAAGCTACCAATATCGATTGCGGGTTCGATTCTTACATATTATGGTCAACCCACGCCGATTGAATGCCCCCACTTCAAGTTTTGGAATTCGTTAGGGTTGGATCACACAGATGATTCGGTTTTGACCGGGAGAGGTTGCTCGTTCATTCGCTGCCACGGATGTAGCACCCGAGCGCCGGCGGAGACATGGCTCAGTGGGTCTCTTGATTTGAGAGGCGAGGGTGGAATTCGATCGGGGCGGCGACGGGGTTTAATGTGCTTGACTGGAGATGGAAGAGTAGGATTATTCCATCAATTGTTCAGAAGCTAGCATTCTCATGGCCGGAGTTCAAATTTGAAACAGAGAAACTGCAGGGGGAGATAGTGGCGAAGAAGAACCCTTTCGTAGAGATTCTAGAAATCTGCAATTGTCTTGCACCTTTTATTCAATTCCCTTTCTTCCTCAATGAACCGGGTAACCGGCCTGGACCCAGTCGACGTCGTAGACGGCCCGGGGCTTGGAGAGGTCGAGGATCAGGAAAGGGGACTTTATCTCGGAGGCGTAGGAGAGGATCAGGATCAGCACAGCCATATGCGAAGGAGCCACAAACAGCGACGAACGTGATGAAGATGAGGACAGGCGCGCGACGGCGCTACTGCCGACGATGATTATCCGGCGCCATTGTAGTTTAATTTGCAGCAGCTTTTTCAGGAAAAGGCTTCTCTTTTAGGATCTCGAGTAAAATATTGTTTGAGATTTTGCACCTAATTAAGAAATTGGGTATGTTTAAGTTATGGTTAAACAAAATCAGGTACCGTAGTGTGAAAATAAATGATATAATTTGTTGGGGGATTAAAGAGAACGTATTAAAATGTAAAGGAATCAATTAATTATCTTTAAGTTGTAAATTATAGATAATATTATCATATTTAATGAAAGCCATCAGATTAAATCAACGGTGTGGAGAACCTAGAGCATATTATATGTCTGGAGCATACGAGTCTGACCCATATATATATATATATATATATATGGACGGTTATGAGCTGGTTTCAATCATAGGTTATTCGGTTTTTGAATTCATTAATTATGAGTTAGTCGGGTTCGCAATTATCAGGTTGGACGTTCATCGGATTATGGGTTTATCGGGTTACTGGTCAATTAGGTTGCGGGTCATTTGGGTTTCAGATTAAGCAGGTTGCGGGCTAATTATATTACAGGTTGATCGGGTTATGGGTCGGGCAGGTTGCGGCCGGATCAGGTTGCAAGTTGTTTGGTCGTCAGTGCATCGATTTACTTACTCGTTACTTACTATGGCTTACACGTTTTATTACACTAATTTAAAACGTTTTTCAAAAAAAATTAGCCAATTTCTTTCTACCTTGTATATGTACTTACAAAAGTTAAAGAAACTTTCAAAGTGTTGAACCAATTGTATAACTTGCAAATTTATCATATAATTAATGATAACCGATAAAATAAACTAGCTAATAATTATGATAATATCAACATTTTCATTCAATAATCACTACAGTAAAACTTATCTTCAGTCACGAAATATTATTCAAGGGATGTTTCCCATACTAAGATGTATATATACTACTAATCACGAAAAATGTTCATGTGTTTGATAATATAATTCTAATCACATGAATTAATTAGCCATATTTATGTCTTCAATTCACTGTTAGTTACTAAGCATGACTGCATGAGTATGAGTTTCCTATTAGTTTCATTCGTTTTTTTCATGTTTTTTCCGTTTCGTTTTGTATGTATCATCTTGTAAATTGCCTCAAATATTGCTATCGCTATACGTAACTTTAACATTCGTTTGGAAGTTGCAATTGTTTTGGTGAGATTGTTACTATACTTGTATTGTTTAGAATGAATCATTTTTTTTAGTAGAAACAATACATGGATAGTTTCTTATGTGATGTGACAAACTATCACTCAAAATGAGTGATTGTTATATCTCAGTTTTTAGTTGTGATTGTTGATATTGTTGAGTAGAGAGTGTTTTGTCTCAGCTTTTAGCTGATGTGACATACACAATCACACATACCAAATGTTGTATTTTACAATACATCAAATTCAATAATACATGTATAATATTATACATGCATTCATAATAATACATCTATTTAACAATCACAACTTTCAAACGACCTTAATTACGATAAATTTTCACGATGAAATATAGGATAATTATCATGAAAATTAGTTCCGAAGATTAATAACATTAGATGAAGCTAATATAGTTATAATAGGGTGGAAAAATAGCTATAATTATGGTTACCCCGAATTCGACACGATTGGGTAGGTAAAATCTGAACTAAAAAAATTATCTAGTAGTATGGAAAATCTGAAACCGAATATCATGGGTAGCGGCGGTACGATCAGTTGTGGGGCTGCCTCTCTTTCTTTTGTCCAAATGGGTCGAGTCTTCTTCATATTGGCTTGTCTTGAGATAATGTAGCAACTTCTAGTTGACTTCTCCATCATTGGACCTCTTCTCTCTCACGAAAGCTCCTTAATCTTCTCATTATAGCTCATATGGTCTTCCGAAGTTCTTCAATGCTTGATCCAATCATCCTTAGGTTGCTTTGTCATTCCATCAAGTCGTGAACCAAGAGTCACGACTGTGGGCTGAGAGTCACGGGCGTGATCGTGACTTGTACTTGAACCTTCTGTTTGCCCGTGTTCGAGTTAAGGGATGGTGGGAGATGCCACGGCGGAGGCTGAGAAGTCACAATCGTGATCGTTACACTCTTGCCTTCGCCATTTTCCACGATTCATCTAGCAGCTCTCAATCCCTCTCTGCTCCATTCGATTCATAAATTGCCCCCAAACGTTTCCTCCATGCATTAGGCCCTGAAATATCGCAAACAAACGCAGCCTAGCGTAAAATCGATCCTTAGTTGCAACAAACATATCCCAAACGGTCCAAAGGTGAAAGGAAAAACATGTGTAAATACTGTGTTATCACATACGTTTAAATGTCTAAACTGAGCAAGCTCTTCTTGCATAGAAAAGTTCCACTCTTCATCGTTTAATGCTTTTTAAATTTTTTTTGGTTCAAGCTTAGACACAAAAGCGTATTGGCCAGGGGCGTGCTTAGCTCGAGGGTTGCGTTCATGTCTTCGACGTTCACTTTCAAGTTGTCCCTAATGGCCTGAATGCTTGCCTCCAATTGTTGTTGATTTGCCTCTTGCTCAGGCAAGAAAGAATCGAATCTTTGATTTATTTTGGCAAAGATTGCGTTGAACTTGTGATGGAAGTCGTTCAAACCCCTGGGTGAGAGTTGTGTCGAACTCATCCTCGCAACCAGACTCTGACACCAAATAATAGAAACAAAGTTTTATCGGTTTTTATGTTTGGGGGATTTAGGGTTTATACGGACATAATTGGGGATAGAGATTTAGATTTGGGGAAGAAGAGTTAAAAAGAACCGACCGGCGCCTTAGAGAGATAGAGATTGAGAATAGAGAGGATAGGGTTTGGGAGAGATAGTTTGCTAATACTTTTCTTGATCGATTATGATAAAACCAAGTACATATTTATAGAGAATACTAGGAAAACCCTAATAATAAACCTAATTCTACTAAAATACTACTAACCATATTTAATAAATATATAATGCTGATGATTATAATTATGATTGAACTGGGAAATCGTGTTTCTATCACAAACAATAGACTCCTTCAAGTTCATAATGCCAAAAAGTCCATTATAAATTTAGGAATTTCTAAAATCTGCCTCTTTTGATATTGGTGATATTTAGATTGAGATTGTTACAATGCTTTTATTGTTCACAATGCATCATTTTTATTGAATTTTCTGTTAAAAAATACAAACATTGTTTACTTGTTGCGACATATAGTATCTCTCAAAATTAATGATAGTTAAATCTCAAATTTTAGAGAGATTGCTCAGATAATGTGACTGAAATGGTTGTTATGGCTTTTGTTCCAACTCTATCTAAAACATTTCATGTGTGTTAATTAATCAATTTAACTATAGCTGAAATTAAACTATTTTTAAAAATTACCAAAATCTGTCGTTTTTCAAATCTACCAACAATCACCCCTTTATCTGGTTTTCCCTTCAGTTTCCCATTCCAGGATTATCTTCTTCCACAAGGGCAGTCGGTGTGTGAGGCTCGTGACGCATCACGTGTGCATTCCGGCTACGAGGATGGGCCGGGGAGAAAATTTGGAAGTAACAGTTTTTTTGTTTTTTTTCTTCACGCGGGTAGAAGGGATTGCAATGTGTCGGGTTGATCGGGTTTTGTCAAATCTAAATCTAAATTTATGGGTTTATCCGTAAAAATCCGGGGTAAAATTTATTGAGTTTTGAAAACTCAAACCCAACCCACCTGCTGGGTATTCACGGGTTCATGGGTACCCATGGATTTTTGTGGTAACGAATTTACAATAACAAGTTTCTATCAAAATATTATTCAAACATCAATTTCCCCATACAAATTATCCATACATAAAACACTATTCTAGAAAATTCGAACATATCATAATTACACTAAATAAAATCACACGGAATAAGTGTAATGAGAGTTAGATTTGAGGAAACTAGAATTAGGGTAGGATTTGGGGAGAGTAGGGCAACAAAATAAGTATGGAAGGATATTCATGGGTCGGATCCCTCTAAACCCAAATCCAACCCAACCCAATAAATATTATATTGATTTAAACCAAAATCCAAAAATCCGTAAACACGAATTTTACCCGGACTCACCCGGTGAGATAATGCGGATTTGGGTTTTGTTGCCTATAGGGATCAGCATTCCGGTTAAGAGGAGGGGGCGGGCGGGGCAGGGAGCTGAGATCACTCCCACGCGGAAAGTCATCCACGGCGGGCAGCGAGAAAACCGGCGCCCAGTTTTTCACGGAAAAAATCCCAAGTTACACATGTTTTTAAAAAAAATTCTCAAAATACAAACGTTATGAAAATAATTCCCAATCTACGTTAGTTTGGGCCATCACCGCTGTCGACGAAGACAGTGATTGCATCACTGTTGTCGACGAAGACAGTGATTGCATCACCGCTGTCGACGAAGACAGTGATTGCATCACTGCAGTACACGGCCGCGGTGAAGGCCTGACCTGCGTCGAAACTTTAAACAAACGTAACTTTGTGCTCGGTTATCCGATCGTAGCGAAATTTTTTTTTATTCCGCATAATTTTTTGAGATCTTGCAAGCCGCAAATTACCGTAGGCGGTTTGGTCCCGCCTTCATCTCGAAAATATGTCGTTTGCTACCCCGGACGAGCCTTTTTTCGATTTCGTCAAACTTTGAACGACCATAACTTTGTGCTCCACAATCCGAAAATCATGAATTTTTTTTTTATTTCGCATAACTTTTTAAGGACTACAATTTTTATCATAGACATATTTTCGGAATGTACTTGGATTCCTGAAAAGGAAGGTAAAGTTATTCCCAAAATCCCTTATATCCATAAATAATTCATTTTTTGAAAATTCTCTCCTACTAAATATTGTAGTCCTTATAAATTTATGCGAAATAAAAAAAAATTCATGATTTTCGGATTGTGGAGCACAAAGTTATGGTCGTTCAAAGTTTGACGAAATCGAAAAAGGCTCGTTCGAAGTAGCAAACGACATATTTTCGAGACGAAGGCGGGACCAAACCGCCTACGTCAATTTGCGGCTTGCAAGATCTCAAAAAGTTATGCGGAATCAAAAAAAAATTCGCTACGATCGGATAACCGAGCACAAAGTTACGTTTGTTTAAAGTTTCGACGCAGGTCAGGCCTTCACCGCGGCCGTGTACTGCAGTGATGCAATCACTGTCTTCGTCGACAGCGGTGATGCAATCACTGTCTTCGTCGACAGCGGTGATGCAATCACTGTCTTCGTCGACAGCGGTGATGCAATCACTGTCTTCGTCGACAGCGGTGATGGCCCAAACTAACGTAGATTGGGAATTATTTTCATAACTTGTGTATTTTGAGAATTTTTTTTAAAAACATGTGTAACTTGGGATTTTTTTCGTTTTTCACAGACAAAAGTCAACCAAATCATGCTGCCGGGACCCACTCTCCAACTCCTATCGTTCAGATCTACTGACGTCCATCAGACGGCCGGAGACGCTCTTTTGACTCCCCCACACTCTTTCTCTCTCTCCCTCACTCTCTCTCTAACGTGCCTCTGGGCTCTGGACCAAAATTTCTCCCCACCTGGGCCCACTTTCGATCCAGCAAGTCAAACGTTTCCCGACAAGTCATCCCCCACTAGCTTCAATCTATTCTAATCACTCTCATCTCATCTTCCCTATCGTACCCCAAATACTAATAAAATAAAAATAAATTCCCCACAGCAAAATATAAAATTTACAGCGACTATCGGTGAAGTGAAGAAAAAAAAATTACAGCGATTATTGTCCGCAGACAATAGAAATTTACAGCGACTGCTCTTTTTCTTCCTTCTTCTTGCTTCGAGAAGAGCGAAGAATAGAAAAAAAAAAGTGGTTGCGTGATGTTTGACCGCGGCCTGCTTTGACCAGCGACGACCCATCCAATTCAATTCACAATCTGTTTTTATTCCTGGTCTTTGCATTTGGCTTTCATTAAACAAAAATAAAAGAAAATTTAATTAAAAAATGGGGGAATCCAAAAGCATGATGTACTGAATTATTCTTACCTACACTTGACGACAAGGCTAAAGTGACCCGTCGGTCACCTTGTCGACCAATACCTTTTTCGCTTTCCTCCTCCATTTCTAACCCAAACCACCACATTTGCCCGACCCCGAACCGGCCCGGCCCGACCGCTTTCCCCATCCTTTTATCAGCACCACAGCTCTCTTCTTTTCCCCTCTCCTACAATTCCCCTCTAATTCCTCTCTCTCCTTCTCTCTCCTGGGGTTCCCCCACTCCGCCATGGCCATAGAGCTCATGATGAACTACGGCGGCAGCAGCAGCAGCAACGCGAGCTTCGTCACCAAAATGGAAGAGTCGGCCGTCCAAGAAGCCGCCTCCGGCCTCGAAAGCGTCAACAAGCTAATCCGCCTTCTCTCCCAGCAGCAGCAGCAGACACAAGATCAGAACCACCGCCGCTCCTCTCCCTCCGCCTCCGCCGCCCCCGGTCCCGCCGTCGACATCGAAACCGACTGCAGAACCGTCGCCGACGCCGCCGTCTCCAAGTTCAGGAAAGTCATTTCCCTCCTAGGCAGCACCCGAACCGGCCACGCCCGCTTCCGGAGAGCCCCTGTCTCCGCCGCTTCTCCGTCGTCGACGGAGCTGATCCCCGCAAATCTCAACCACTACCACCACCGCCACCACCACCACCGCAGCAGCGGCAGTGAAATCCCGCATCCCGAGAGCAACAGCAACGACGACAACAACAAGGTCTACTACGCGACGCCGATCCAGCAGATTCCTCCCTCGCCGCAGGATTTCGGCCTCGCGGTTGTGAAATCAGGCGCATCCGTGGACAGAAACGGCAAAGACTCGTCCGCCACGACCATCAATTTCTCGTCCTACTCCTCCGCAGCGAACTCGTTCGTTTCGACGCTGACCGGAGAAACAGAGGGGAAGCCGCACCAGCATCAGCACCAGCAGGGACCTTCTTCCTCGTCGGCGTTCCAGATCACGAATCTATCTCACTCCGCCGGCGGACGGCCTCCGCTCTCCACATCGTCGTTGAAGAGGAAGTGCAGCTCTGAGACTCTGGGATCCGGGAAATGCCTCAGCGGCGGCTCCTCCGGTCGCTGCCACTGCTCCAAGAAGAGGTAACCAGTCCACTCGAGTCCTGTTTTTTAATTCACTCCCCCCACCCGCTAATTCTTCCCCCTGTAGCCCTGGTTGTATTGAATTTCGTCCGGAATAATTTTGCAGCAGGAAATTGAGATTGAAGAGGGTGGTTAGGGTTCCGGCGATAAGCCTGAAGATGGCGGACATTCCTCCCGACGACTACTCGTGGCGGAAGTACGGGCAGAAGCCAATCAAAGGCTCCCCGCATCCACGGTAAGTTCGATTTCCTCGATCTGCTCCATCGTTGACCCGGGATTGGGCGAAAGGTTTTGTTGAATCAATTTTTTGGCAAAAAAAACTGCAGGGGTTATTACAAGTGCAGCAGCGTGCGGGGATGCCCGGCCCGGAAGCACGTGGAGAGAGCGGTGGATGACCCGTCGATGCTGGTGGTGACCTACGAAGGAGATCACAATCACAACACGCTGTCCATTGCTGAGACTGCTAATCTCATCTTAGAATCCTCCTGAATTTCATTAGCAAGATGATGAACAAATTCAATGCTTTGTTTCTTTCTTTTTTTTGTGGGTGATGGTGATCTCGAAGGAGATCGAGGGATCAGAATCTGTAGGCTTGTAGTAAGCAGGGAATGGATATTTTGGGGGGTCTAAGTTCCCCAATTTGTGTCCAATCATTTCATGTAAAATATTTATTATGGGGATACTTTTGGTTTTTATTTTTTTGGGGTCGATAATGAGGAACCCATATGTTGTTTCTTGTGATTTGGGGAAGAAATTTGGTGGAAGGAAAGGGGATGTGGGGATTTTGATGGAATTTGGATGAAGCAAAGCAAAAATGGTGGGTGGTGGTGGAAGTGGATTTGGTGGTGGATTCCTCCACCTCCCTCTATCAGCAATGAACACTAGTAGGGAGAAAGTTGGTATTAGCATAAATGGTGTTTTCTTTATGCGCGCTTTGTTAGTCAAGATTTTTACTGATTACTAAGATTTGTGTTTGAATCGCAACCCACATTGGACATACGTCTAATTGGTGAGCAACTATTCAGTTTATTCTTATTTAGACTTGCTTTAGACACCAGGGATTTTACAATGTTCATAAGCACAAACATTTTCAGGTAAGTTGAGTTTGTACTAAAATATTGTAGGTACAAGTTTTGTGTATACTATAAACGAATTTGTACAAAATTTGTATCATAAGGAATGATAGGAGAACTCTTGGTAGGTTTCCATTCTCATTAGCAATTATGTTTACTTTATATAATGCTATCCATATCCCAATTTGACAAATTGTCCAAGAACTGATAAGCTTCCAATTGTGTTCCTTTTGTTCAAAACACTTTTACTTTAATTTGCTTTATTTGTTAATAGACTGAGACCGAACGAAAGATTCCAGCTTTGGTGGTGGCACTGTCTGGCTGTTTGATTGATACTTTGGCCTTTTTTGTTCTTTTCAAACATGGGGAGTCGTTGTTTTTGATCCTTGGATGCCAACTTCCTTTTACTTTTTCAACGTTCTCCCATGAATAATTTGCAGAGACCCCAAAAAAAACAAAAAGTGTTTTAACAAAAAGAAAAAGTAAAGGAAGGAAGGAAGGAAGAGTGATTTGGTCAAAGCAAGCAAACTATTCCCCTCTCTCACCAAGTGGATCAACGTGTCGTGTGTGGTAGACTTGGTTGACTGGAACATACCATGCACGACAAATAATGTGTTTTCCTCTAAAATTTATATTTACTTGAACAATAAAATGGATGTTAGCGTCTGCCGGGCCGATTGGGAATATCCTATATTTATTTATTTATTATCAAATTAACTTTGTTACGATCGAATTATTTTTATTATTATTAATCATTTGAAATTATAATTAAACTATTTTACACCAAAGTATTAGTCGGGCTGCATTTTCAAAACAACCTTTCCGAAGCAAAAAAAAAAAAAAAATGGTGAATGCTCTGTCCTCTCTCCTATGGAAAACCGTAGGAACAATCCTCATCGCCTCCATTTGGTTTTCGAAGGATGACGCCATGGAGGGCTGTGCGATGATGGTGCGGTGGATGAGATGGATTTGGGAAGGAGTATTGAAGAAGTGGGTCGAGTTAAGGCACACCGATGGCCCTATGCTGCGCCCGGCAGCGAAGAAACGCTGGCTGGAAGACGCACGGGGCGGAGAGATTCTGATGACTGATGATCAGTCTGGGCGGGATGGTGATCCTCGTTTGGAGGTTAAGGACCGAAAATGGTGCCTTTGGTTAATAAATGTAGTGGCAGGTGCAAGACGTATTGTTCAGAGCCGGCGTTCAATCGTACACCCTGATGGGGTATGGGGCCGGGTTGATGACCAGAGCGCTACTCCGGTGACCGGCGGTGGTGATCGGGCTCTGGAGCTGACGTTCAGCGGTTGGCGGAGAATCCACAGTATCCGATTTGATAGGGATATTGATAATATTGAAAGGTTTAATTTTGAGATCCGAAAGAAGGTTTATCTCAACCGAAATCAGTTGGTGGATTGGGATATTGATAAAAACAAATCCCTGTGTTTTTCTGTTACGCGAATAAACCCGATGGTAATCCTCCAGGATTCGACCATGTTTCATCTTTGGGGCAGGACTCCTGGAGTCCCTTTAAATATGGCCGAACTTTGCAGCAACCTATTCATCCAAAAAAAATTCAAAGGTTGGCTTGTGAACTGCCTACAGAGGGTAAGAGTTTTCCGAGCGCTTAAACTCTCAGTGCGATTGAGTGTGGGTGGCGCAGAAACAAAGAGTGACATCGAGCAGCAGGGACTGGGCATAATGGTGGACTCGAGCATTTGCCAAGACCAAATAGTGGAATTCTCCACTGAGGATGTTGCTGTGAGTATGCAGAGGGCAAAGATGAGTTTGTTGGGGAGACTTTTCATTGAGAACCGACCGAGCCTCTCGGTTATCCACAAAATTGTTTCGAATGCGTGGGAATGCCGGAAGAAGGTGCAGGTGTTGGAGGCGGAGATGGGACTGCTCCAATTCTTGTTTGATGATGCGGAGGACATGGAGTGGGTGTTGAAGCGGACGCCATGGCCGGTGAAAGATCGGGTGCTGCAGCTCCAGCGATGGGCACCGGTCACGGAGGAGGTTTTTGATTCCCTGGGTTTTGCGCCTTTCGGGGTGCAGATGTGGGGAATCCCATCGCACTGCCGCACTATTGCTTTTGGAAGAAGGGTTGCGGAGATGAAATTAGGAGAAGTGCTCGATGTCGGACTATTCGGCATCAAAGGCGAATCGGACCAGTTCATCAAAGCTCGGGTGAAGATCAATGTTCGTGAGCCGCTGCGATCGCAAGTCTGGGCAAGCAATGAAGTTGCTGGAAAGTTCTGGGTGACTTTCGCATACGAGTTCCTCCCTCTATTCTGCTTCCATTGTGGCAGATTGGGGCATATGGAAAGGAATTGTGTGTTTCCGGCGCCGGTTGGAGAAGAGAGGTTCAGTCAGGAAATGGCGACTACTGAGGTGGGGTTTCGTCTCCACGAAGAAACACTCAAGTCGGCCCAATTCAGTGCCCCGCCGCTGCCGCAGTCTGTGTGGGTTAATCCAAAAACGAAGGGGCAGATAGGTGCTAGCACGGTGACGGCGAACGGAGAGAAGCGGAAGACGGGGGACAAGGGGGTTTGGCGGGAGGCGGTCTTGGCTCTCCCTGCTGGTGGTGAACGCAATCCAAAGGGCGCGCAGGGGAAGATGCAGGGGGGAGCAGAGAATCGAATCGACTGGGGGGACAACTTGGGTCACAGAGGGTTGGCCGTGGTTCTCAGGTGGAGGAGATGGGGAATCGGCCGAAGCCGGCGAGGCAGACCAAAACCACGGCATCCAGTGCTCGTGGGAAGCTCCCGCCGGCTAGTGGGGGGCGGGCTGACACGGAGGTGACGAAGATGGGGGAAGGTGCGAAGGGCGGAGGGACAGGGAAGCAAAGGCGGGCGGAGGGAGTTGGTGGGGAGAGCAGTGCGGACCAGAAGGGGTCTCGCGAATCAGGGGGGACGAAGATGGAGGGGCCCATGGGTGTCGGGCCAGCAGTGGGTATGGGCCTTGGGCCTAAGGGAGGAGACCCATTATCTCCTTTGGCCGGGAATGGGGATGTGCTGCAGGGGGCCAAAAAGCCCGTGGAGAAAATGGCCGGCCAGCATAGTGGGGAGCAGACCGCGATGGCGTCGGAGATGCAGGATGGTGGCGAGAGATCCGTGGTGAGCGAAGCGACTACAACGGTGGCTGATGAATATGGGTCTAATTTGCCCAAGTTATTGGAGGTCTTCAGGATGGCGATTGCGGAGGAGGAGTTAGAGGATCGAAAGAGACCTGCGGTCATGGTGGAGGATCTTCCGCGAGACCCCACACCAACAAAGAAAATTTGCGCGGAAAAGACAGGCGAGGAACCAGAAGAGTCAGTGGAGGTAGCCAGCCCGAAACGGCCCCATTCGATTAAATGAGGCTTTTGTCGTGGAACGTGAGAGGGATTGGGCCGTCCCTCACGTTCCAATCGCTGTTAGGGTTAGTTAGAGTGAATAATCCAGATTTGGTGTTCTTGTCAGAGACCAGGTCTCGTCGTAAAGTTGTCTCTCGTCGTATGCGAGGTTTAGGGTTTGATTCAGATTCTTGTTTTCTTGTTGATGCCGTTGAGATGTCAGGCGGCCTAGCGGTAGGGTGGTCCCCGAGCATCAGTGCCTCGGTTGTGTCGAGTTCTTCTTCTTTTATTTCTATTCGGATTAATAATATGGATTTGCCGTATGTGGTGGTTTGTGTTTATATTAGTTGTGTTGAGACTGTGCGGCGAGGGCAGTTGGAGGCCCTTCGTGTTTATTGTCAAGGGATTTCAGACCCTTTTATCATCATGGGGGATTTCAATTCGATTTTGTCCTCCAATGAGAAGGATGGGGGGGGTGCCGTGGTCTCCTGCCCAGTCCCAGGATTTTCGTGATTTTGTTGATGCCCTGGCGCTGCGGGACCTTGGGTTCCAGGGACCCTTGTTCACCTGGACGAACAAGAGGATGGGGGCCGCGTGTGTGCAAAAAAGGTTGGATCGGGTCTTGGGCTCTACAGGCTGGGCGGAATCCTTCCCGGACACGATTGTTCTTCATTGTACGGATATTGGTTCCGATCATCGGGCGCTTATAGTGGCGGATAAACCGTTTAAGAGAACGGCCCGCCGTTTGTTTCGATTTGATGCCCGATGGGTGGAAAACCCGTAAGTGCGCTTGATGGTCAATTATGTTTGGACGCAGGAGGAGGCAGGTTCGCCTATGTATAAATTGTGGACGAAGCTTAAGAAAGTCCGGCATATGCTGTATGATTGGGCTCGCGCCGGGGTGTCTAATTCTGCTAGGAATATTCATACTCTCCAAGAGGAGATTGAGGCGATCAGGAGGGTGAATCCGGTGGATTGGGATAAGATAAGGGAGCTGGAAGGGGATTTGGGACGACAATGGGCAGCAGAGGAGCTATTCTGGAAGCAAAGGTCCCGGGTTCGCTGGCTAAAGGAAGGGGATAGGAATTCTTCATATTTCCATACGGTCACGCGCACTAAACGTAGGAAAAACTTTATCGCCAAACTTCGCGGTGAGGATGGTGATTGGGTTGAAGAAGAGCCGGATAAGGCTAAAATGGCGGTTGAGTTTTTTGATACTCTGTTTACGTCTGAACTCCAGATTGGGGATGTGGATGCTAGGGTGGCGGCGTTGCCTATTGAGAGGCTGGTCACGGCCGATATGAATCTAAAACTGGTGGCTCCTGTCTCGGCTGAAGAAATCCGGCGGACGGTTTTCTCAATTGGACCGACGCAAGCGCCAGGATCGGATGGGTTCACGGCGAAATTTTTTCGGTCGTATTGGGAT